AATTCCCGTATTAGTTGAAATATTAAAAGGTTGTAGCATCTGATTCTAATGTAGATTCAGTCAGACATATTGGTGCAAAAATGTATTTTGGGCTGTTTTCTGCCATAAAAATTGACAGTAGAGCTTTGTTTTATGGGAGCTTAAATTTTATATTGACTGTTTGGGATGACCCCAAAGTCTAAACATGCAGCAGTAACATAACTCGTTCAGTTCATCCCTCTGAACCAGTGTGCCTGGCTTTAGAAAGAACTTCAAATATATGATTTCATTAGCCCTAACCATATGTTCTGTGTATGTGTTTAAAAACACTTCAGCAACTTGTAGAAACAGTGTCTTGTGGAGGAAATCTCTTGATGAATATCGGGCCCACTCACGATGGTCGCATCGCTGTTATATTTGAGGAGCACCTGAGGCAGATGGGTGCCTGGCTGAAAGTCAACGGAGAAGCCATCTATGGAACGAAACCGTGGAGAGCACAGAACGACACGGTCACACCAGAAGTGTGGTAAGGCTACTGAACCAAAGTGTGGGCTGCGTAAAGCAGCAGCAGTGTATGTGAAATTTTGAAATTCTTAATGACTTGATGCTACAGAAATCACCATCTTACTTTGTATGCTGTGAAGAAAGTAACGCTTTTGTCAAACAGTTTAAGTCAATGCACATAAAAGTGTGTATAAAACTGTAGGTAGACAATGGGTGCCAGAGAATGTAGTTTTGGGATGATGCTGATGGGAAGGTTGCAGGTGTTTCCTTAGTGATCTTGTGCTTCTTAGTGTAGCTGGGAACACAAAATACAAAAAAAAAAAAAAAAAAAAAAAAAAAAAAAAAGAAAAAAAAATCCAGACATATAAAACTGCTATGGTGTCTATTTGTACAAAGGAATGCTTGATGTCACTGTCTAGAGAGAAAATCTAGAAATCACTCTAGCATATTCTACATTTCTTTTTAAGGTAAAAATGCATGGGAAGATAGCAGCAATTGTTTGGTCACTAAATTCAGCCAGTCTCTGGACTCTCCTCTGCCTTTGTGCCTCACAGCTGCTGTAACGCCTTGATGATCCATGAGGGTTCTGGTCTTGACCCTCTTCTGTGCCTCAGTGGGCCTTTTTACTCCTATTCCCAGTAAGATTTGGCTATCTGGCCTTAGCCTTGGAATGCTGAACTGTTGACTCTTTAGTAAGACCACTTCCGTGAGCAATAAAAAATTGTAACTAAATGAAGGAAGGAGGGAGGAATAATGTTTCAAATGTATGCCACAAGATTTCCAAGGACATGCTGTAGATAATGTCTGCTGAAATGAAATTTTTAGAAAACTAGCTATGCAAGGTGGAAGCTTCATTGTTGCAAATACTCTTGTTAAATTTTTTTAGTGGAATGTCTGTATGTTTGTGTAATAGATGTGAATTACCATATTTTTCTGAATATAACCCACCATTATCTGTTAATGATTCCCCCCGCCCTGCAAGTACCTCCTTTCTAGGTGGCTGAGCAGCAGTGAGTTGTTACATGCTTGCTAAAGTTACTACAGATGTTTACCTCTAAATTCAGTTCTTTAATAGTCTCTATTACCTCTAGTTTGTCAGAACATATTTTCACAGAACAGTACTTTATTAAAGGGTATAAATTGTCTGAAAAGATGGTTATGTGTTTGAAAATGTAATTAATGCCAACTTTTCAAATCCATTTTTCCCATCCTGAAAGCACTCTATATATTGCTTCAGAAAACTTACAAGGAAAACCTGACATGCATTTCTGTTCCCCTTTTCCAACCAGGTACACTTTCAGCCCTAAAGAAGGCAAAGTCAATGCTATCTTCCTTAACTGGCCAGACTCTGGGACTCTGGAACTTGGTGAGCCACAGGCTAAGCTTGGAGAAACACAGGTAAAGGACAACACCCACACACACACTCTCTCCCTTCACCTTTAGAACAGTGAGGCTTTTAACACACGGTGCAAGAAATCAACATACTCTGAAGGAAAACACCTCTAAGATTTGTCATGTTCCATCAGTGTTTATTTTAGTTTCTGGCATCTTTGGGAATGCATAACTCTTAGGACAGAGTACATTGGAAGAGACCCAGCAAAATGTTCGTTTTCGTTCAGGGACCTCCTTGTCATAGTCCTCCCAGTGGGATGTTTCTTCTCCAACAAAGTTAGACTGAATTGTTGCTGGGATATGTTTTAGCTTGCAAACTAAGGATCATAAAAAGAGGCCACGTAGCAGGAAAAAAAAAACCCTGCTGCCCCTCCTGTTTCCTGTGTAGACTAACTCAGCATGACCTTTCTCTATAAATAGCCATCCTCATGACTTTGGTGATATTGTAATTGCTGTAATGGTGCAGTAGTTTCAAGTCAAAGCCTTGCACAAAGAAAGGGAAAGAACACACAGAGGTTTTCATTGCCCAGGGATGCTAAATAGTAAGTCAGCGCAACCCTAGCTGTGTGTCTCGGAGCAAGCGGTGGTCAGAAGTTGAGGACACTGATGCCACACCTGCACTAGTGAGTAGCGTAACCCAATGGAAGCGGATTTATAGAGCAGAACAGCTGGTGCTCAGGACTTAGTATCAACACTGTGCACTTAAGGTGGGGATTCACTCTGGCTTAGCTCTGTCCTGGTCTCATGGATTGGATGTCCACTAGCTGCTGAAATGCATTAAGGGTGTTTCTAGACTGTCTCTTCTGGTCTAGTTCCATATGAAAAGAATCTAGTCAGTGCCAAGGCACCGCTGCGATAAGGGAGAAAGAGTAATTGCAGAAATGATGTAGATGCGTCTTGAATTTTGTAGAGGCATCTAGACTGTATGTGCACAAGAGAGTAATGTTCCTCAGGGGTCGAGATGGGTCTTCAGCTGCTCCACTATTTTCAGTATTTCACCAGCTAGCGTAAGAGTCTCACTGTAAAACCTATTTGTGTGTTTCTAGCGGAGAGGCTCTTCAGGCCAGGTTTTTTCTGAGATATCTGGCTGCACTCTGTAAGAAATACTGCTCGCTCAAGACTACAAGTTCCGCCATGGGAAACAGGCATTTCAGAAAAAGGTGATGCAGCACTGTGTACCGTGGTGCCTGGATCCCTGCTTAGACCCAAATCCCATCCCAAATACTTCTGAAAAGTGTTTAATGTACCTTTTACAGACCTAAGTGCTTCTCAAGACCCAACATAGCTAGCTTTATTACTTACATATCTACTTTGCAAGTATTTCTCTACTACCTTTTATCACTGTTTTATCATTCATTTGGTTGGTAAGTGGTGTTTAAGGATAATTGGATAGTAAAGTAGCCATGGAACAACATTTCTTTTGTTGATTTTGCAATTATATGCGCTTTGAAAAGGCACTGTTCTAATTATAGTGTATGTTTCTGTCTCAGGTGAAGCTGATTGGCTACAAGGAACTGCTGAAATGGGTTGCAGTGGGAGAAAAGGGAATGGTGATCGCTCTACCTCAATTAACACCTAAGCAATTGCCATGTCAGTGGGGCTGGACTTTGCAACTGACTGACATAAACTGAGCCATACACTGCTGGAGCCTTTGGGCATGCTGGTGGTTTGCCCAGTTTCTCATCAGTGGTTTCTAACTCTTACTTGCTTGACTGAGAAACATCAATAATTTCACTTTTTTGTGAAAGGTAGGCTGTTTAATATTAAAGATGGAATGGAATGAACCTCACATGAAATCTAGCACTAGATAGTTGAATCTCTGCATACAATTTGTTTCTTTGAACTTGTGTGAAAAACCAAGCATCTACCTTGACCTGTCCAATTTTTTAGTAGGTTTTTTGCAAGTTAGGTGAAGAACAGGGGAAAAAAAATCAGGCACTACCTTTTTAAAGTCATAAGAAAAAACAAAGCTGGCTCAAGCCAGGGTTCAAACATACAGAAGCTAGATTTCTTGCATTAAAGAAAGTAGACAACTGCCTGCCACAAAACCACACAGTAAAAACTGTCAGTTTTAGAGAAAAGAATAAACTTTTTCCAGTTGTGTGCAACAACTGGCAGCTGGTAGTTTCAGCTGGGTAGGGTAATGTATCTGCAAGAACAGTCCTATAAGGATTAGGAATTCGTCACAAATGCATGGAGGCAACACATATGTACATCTTCACTTCTCATCATGAAAATCATTAATTTTACCTGTTTTACTGTTGAGTAATTCCATCCATTATTGGGATACAAGTAAAGTGGGAGGGTTGTTTTTTTTTTTTGCTGTTTTGTATAATTTTATATGGTTAAAGCTGACTCTTGTTTACAGCTGTTGTTTTTACACAGTTACCAGGGTGCCTTCTGTGGACTATTAAACAAAACATACACTTCAGTGACTAACTTTTTTTAAAAAGAGAAATAATCAGGAGTTGCTAGGATCCTCAACATTGGCAGAGAGACAACATTTTAAGCAGAGGGCAGACTGTATCCAAGTTGAAAAATTCCCAAACTCATCACGTGTCAGGATATGTAGGGACAAACCTGCAGTGTGAAGTTTGCAAAGAGGGGGAGGCACAGGACAACAAAAAGCATGAATTGCTTCAGTGTAGAGATCAAAGGCTTATTTTTCCTGAGTAATTCTTAATAAGTGCAAAACTATTACTGTATAAATTAAATTCATTTTCAGCTATGTCAAGGTTTTAAGTGATGGGCCAAATGAGGTTATTGCCTTTCCTGCTAGTAATGTTAATACACGCACAAATTTTACATTAAAATATTTTATTACAATACAGACATTGGGCTCAAAATTAATACAAATTAAGATAAAATATTTACAAGTTAATGTGTACAGTGTAGCTGTTCGAACAGCATAAACAAGAGAACTTCTAAAAATCCATATTCCTTTAGTATGAGACAGCACCCCCCCAGCTTGTTCAAGAGGAACATGCATCAGTCAGCAAAGGCTTTCTGAAGAATGAGAGACTCTTTGGAATAATGTTTGTAAAGTTAAGGAAAAGAGTTTTTCCTTTCTAAAGAGAAAAATTTGGGAGAAAAAGAAGAAAGCAGCCTTACTTCATTCTGCTACTCTGTGCTATTCTTAGATCACTATCATTAGTTTTTTCCAAAACTTACAAACCTCAGGCAAACAAATGGATTTTTTTAGGAACTTGTTGTAATACTGCCACCAGATGCCTTTCAGATGCAATGAAAATAATCAAATGAGTTATGGAAGAGTTCAACCACTTTTTTTTAATAGAAAAGTCTTTACATACAATGATTCTTTCAACAAGAATATTTTTAATTGGTGTTTGAAACAGAAAAATATGGGCTCACTCTCACTTTTTTCCAAATGTTCTTTCTGCTGATCTACCACTCCTACACCATTATAAAATTAACCCAAGTCTCATCAGTAGTCACAAGGGATTTGTTATAAATACACGATCTATTCCTATAAATGTGCAGTTCATTTCTCTAGTTGCTGAGGGGTACTAAAAGCTTCATAAACATTAGCAGCAAAATCTTTCACTTGTTCCATCATCAACAGGTCCTGGAAGACATTTAAAAGAATAAATTTGCTTAAGCAAACACATCCACCACTATTCTGCGTTTGCTGCAATACATAGTCCATCATGAGAAAAACAGCTGGCACTCCCACAGAGATCTAACTCAAATTTCTTGCTTTAGAAAGGGTTATGGACAGAACTGCAAGCAGAACCAAGTCGAGAGACCTTTTTGTGCTTCTGCAGTTTAGCAGAGGGAAGAGGTTCTAGAAAAATAGTGTATTTTTGGAAGATACAAGCTTACAAAATGTTGAAGTTATGCCAACTGTTTTTACCTTTTTTTTTTTTTAAAGCCACTGAAATTAAACAGAATGAAGTACATTATTAGAAAGAAACATACAACATTCATTTCAAAATTTTACTTGGGATATTTTAAATAAGTAAGATTCTTACCTGAACAAAGTGACTGGGTGTTTCACTGCATACCGAATGGATCTGTCCATTTATTATTGGAATTATCTTGGCTAAAGGAAGACTGACACTGGAAAGACTAGAAAAAGAACAGAAAACATTGACCTAGACCTGCTCTGGCATTAGTAAAGCCACTAAACTGTGGTTATTACAATTCTAAATAATTACTACTTCAAAAGTAAGAGTTGAAAGACTGCAAACTAAAATGTACAGATCAAGTTTTTTTCCCTATGAAGTCTTTCACTTGATACAGAAAAGTACCAAGGCAAATTTCAGTTGGTGTTCCTGTTACACACAGTTTCATGCTTGCTTCTCATGCAGGAGAAACATGCTTTAGCCAGAGTATTTACATGCATGTGTATGCAAACAGGCACTGGAAGTGCCTGTCTACAATCTCATGCTATTTCAAACTCTAAACCAGGCTTAGGACAGACAGTGAAACTACAGCCTTTGGGATATTTTAACTGATGTATAGTATATATTTAAATAGAAAGATTACTCAGAGCCATCAGTTAATAAAACAAACAAGTAAAACCAGTTGTTATTCAAGGTTTTAATTTTAATATTTTAGAAATCGTATTTCAAGGATTTGAACTCAGCTTTTGGATTTGCAACGCTCTTACTGCACTGTTTAAAACAGAAGCTAACTTTAGAATAAAAGCTATTTTTTAAACAGTCTTCTAGGAAGAGACAGAAGGTTCTGAATGTTAACATCTTTTTTTCAGCATACCAACGAAGAACCTAAAGCTCTGTAGGTGCTTTGGCTACGTGTTATTTGGAGAATCGTGGTAGTGCCCACCTTCCTTAAGAACTACAGCAACTGGTAGTCAGAGTCTGGGGCATACAGAGCTTTTCTGCTAACTGTATGGGAACGCTATCTTTCTTGCGGCCTCACAGGGGACGTAGTGCAGTGCATCTCTCTAGTAGTCACCACCAGTGGGGTAAATCCTCCTTAGCTAGAAAGGCAGTCTGCTTGTACAGTCTTGGCAAAAAGCGGGAAGTATACATCTTCTGATTTCTACTGTTAGATCTGCAAGTAATGGTGGGAAAGATACCTCATGTGAATTCTAGCAACTTCATGGGTGAAGGGAGGAGACTCTATTTATTCTTGAAAAGCAAGAAACAGAATCCTTTCCAGCATGGTAACTTCAAGTACGCAGGAAAATCAATAGCCTTTTTTGGAATTCACTATGAACCCAAAGCATTATTGATATGAGAACCTCATATGAGAACCACAACAACAGAGAACATTTACCTATTTACAGAGCCATTCTGAGAGAGGTCCTGTTCAGTAGGTCTAAAAAACTCTGCCATATTGTCCAGCAGTCGACTGAATCCTCTATTTAAACACGTGCTCAAAACTGTACTGAAGTCTGGACTGGGGAGGGAGGAAAAAAAAGTTTGATGCCTTGGATTTATGTTTTCAAACTAAAAAACACTGCAAGCATTCAATGCTACCGATGTCCCTCCCATGAAGATGTATGACCCAGACAAAAGGCCATTAGCATAGCCACCTCAAGAAGGACCAGCTCCCCAGTAACTCCACAGCAAACCAATCAACAACCTACACTCTACCCTAAGGTTACTAAAACCAGATAAATCTAAAGCATTCCTCACTTCTCTATTTCTTCCTAAGTAGTAACATAGGAGGGACTTATCCTTAAAATGTCCCAGCTCTCTAGCAGCTCAATTGTAAGAATAGTTTGGCATTTGGCTCAATTCACTCGTGTTCAGTGTTTATTATAGAAACGTCACTGCAGTAGCTCTGGTAGAAGGATGCATGCAACCACTCTCAAAGCCATGCATTAAAAATCAATTCTGATAAGCCAACACTGCTGTTCATTTTATCACAGCAAGTAAATCCAATAAAATTACTCTCAATTTACTCTGCTTTAGCAGAAGAGAAGTACTCCTCTGTTCCTGCGTAACTACAGAAAAGGTGAGGAAGAGATAAGGGGGTCTGACTGGGAAGCACATCCTGGTCATCTTGTTAAGGCAGGATTATTTCTTATAAATGAGTTTCAGAGCTCTCAAATTTTGAAAATCCTAGCCTACAATTAGTGAATATAAAAATCTAATGAAGCAGAGTGGTCACATTTCGCAAATGAAAGTTCACAGCTTTTTCTATGAAAGTAATTGTCTTACTTAAACAATAGTTGTGAGGAGGACTTTGCTATGAATACAGGATATTTCTCTATACCTTTCTAGCATATCTCTAGTTTCATTAAGTAATTTAATTGTAGCAATGTCTCTTTCTGTGAGTCCACAGGCCTAGAAAAAGCAAAGACAGGCACTATTTAGTAAGAAACCAATTTGCAACCGTGAGATTAGAAAGAAGAGTTTTGTACCACAGAATTAAGTAAAGATGTATAAGTCAAATCTATTTGAAAAAGAAGATTTATGTTCATAAATCAGATTCTTAGTAATTTGTGTTCTGATTTTCCTTTGAAATGCTCACTGTAGGATTTTTTTTTTTTAACAAAAAACAGTATTAGCTGGAAATACCAGACTAATTGAGCAAAGTATTTTTTCCACTTCTGACCTCCAAAACTGAAATAAACCCTCCCTATCAGCTTAAGTTAAAGAGATAAGCGCATGTAGTCACACACTGAAGCCTAGGTTTCTTCTTTATACTAGTATAATATCAAGTTAAGAATGAGTTTTCTCCAACCTGTGGTGTGGATGGAGACAAACACCTTTAGAAATGTAGGAAATTACTTTAATGTTACAACTAACATTAAATACACCTTTCTCTCAACTGCTGTTCATTTCCCAGCCCAAAGCAACAAAGGACTCCAGCACACCATCACCTCCTCGTGCATCAGCCAAGATGCTACAAATGTCCATGATCTTTGCTGGTACACAAGTGCAAGGCAATACAATTCAGCTCAGGGCTGAGTGAAGCTGCACTGTGTTACAGCATATGTCATAGTCTAAAAGCAGTAATTGGGCTCTGTTTCTGAGCTCAAAGCTGACATTCTGAGGATGACATTTGTTTTCAAACAAATCTGAAGAAAGTACAACTTTACTTTGCATAGATTAAAGAGATAAGGACACTTGCTTTATGAAGGAAGAGGCACTGCCATTTATTAAAGATACAGATACCATGGTACAGCTAGAGGACTGTTAAGCACCCTTCCCTCCCCAAAACAAATGCACAAAAAATGCAGAATGAAAAAAGGTAGATGAAAAGAAATTGAAACAAGTACCTGGGTAGCCAAGGGGTTTTCTTCATCTGGCATCAGATAATGACATAAAGGAGAGTAAGATGCCATCTGATCTGAATCTTTATGTTCCACTACTTTCCTGATATCTTTAAGTTTCTGTTCCAGCTCCAGAAGAGATAGGGTGTGCTTAAGGGAAATACTGGAAAGGAAAAAGACTACAGTGTTGGTTGCAAAATGAATAATGATGCTTTGTTCTCCTACCAGTAACATGTTCACAAGTAACAGGATCACAATCTGCTATATTGGTTTGCACTGGCAGATGTAGCCTGCTATAATAGAAAAGTTGGTTTGGAAAAAGTCAATTCACCTTCCTTTTTTTTTTTTAATTCCAATAAAACTCATTGTTTTGGGAACAGTCATCACGATAAAACTTAAAAGCTAACCACAGAGAAATATAGACTCTTACCTTCCAAAAACTTTATGCACAGCTTGTTTAACAATAGTTATCAACTCAGTCAGTCCTAGAAGGAGAAGTGTGTCAAAATTATTCTAATGATTTTCTCAAGTCTAGAAAAAAGTAGAATTTTATAAAGTGTAGTTAGCTCATAATAGGGACCATACCATCTCCTAAAAGGTGCTGAATACTTGATAAATATTGCTGTTGAACTTCAGGGGGAGCTAGTGGTGTCTAGGGGAAAAAGAAAAACCAAACAACAGTTGTGTGACATGTCAACAGTAGAGAACAATGCAAAAAATCACTTCAAACCGGTTGCAACCGATTTCCTTAATCTTTATAACACACTGCAGCAGATGGATTCCCCCATTCTCATGCACCTCTGTAGCTCATGACCCTCTTCCTGCCATCAACCCATGGATCTTTCCTAAGTCCTCTGGCATTCTTCTCTTCAATACTATACAGATCTCTCTTCTGTCTTCAGTGGCACAGAAACATCTTTTACTTTTCATTCATATATAGGAAAGTCTCTTAAACTGTGCCACTGAAGACAGGAGAGAGATCTGTATTTTATGTTGGTGTTTAGAGCTGAAGTAATCTTCTTCAAGCAATACAAATGCAGACAAAAGGTATTCTTCAATATTGCTAGTACTTCATTAAGCAACAGTATTACTGAATCATCCAAATTTAGAGGCTATTAAAACACATCAATATACATTACTTTCAGTAATGCTTCCACATCTCCCACTCCTTATAAGAACTCTTGGTTTCATTCTAGTACTCCTAAACTATGCCCTTTTTATCTCTCACTAAATAATCCTTTCAATTCCAAGGAAAGCAAGTTCTACCTTTGAAACAAAGCAAAACAACAAAACAAAAAACCCCAAAACTTACTGTGCCGTTTTTGCAGAGTGCAGCATTATCTAGGTAGATGTAGCCGCCAATAATATTTAACTGGACTCGCAAAAGAACTACTAGCATACAGGTACTATATACAGCTACAATGCTTCTTGTAAAACCTTGAAAAGAGACAACAAAATAACTTCAAATTCAAAGAAATAAGGGTGAGTCAAGGAGGGAGAGTGCTCTCCAAAACTCAGGAAGTGCTGATGATTTTTAAATGCAGGGTCACATTTCTCTCACTGGTTGTCGTAATACACGTTTTCACAACACATACCCAAGATGGTCAGGAGTCTAATATGTGTTGGATCTACATCTAAAGTGTCCCATTTGAAGTCCTATATTCATATCATTTTGCATGTTACACAAGTTATTTTGGAAAAAAAGAAAATTATAGAAAGTTGCTCCAGAAGGAAAATGGATGTACTGTCAAATTACTTTCTTCATTAGGGAAATACACACAGTATGTTAGCCCTCATCATGCAGTTAAGACACAGAAGGCATAACAGCAGCTTGGGGAGGGGGGCGGGGAAAGCAGCTACCTAAAGCAGAGGCAGCTAATATCTAAAGAAAGAAAATGAAAACGAGCACCAGCTACCAGCCACTAGGCAACAGAGGATGTGTGGAAGAAGGGACATGAGAAGTCGACATGAATAAATATGGATGAATGCTGAGTAGCAAGGACATGGGAAGAAAGGAGCTGGATCAAAAGCAGGACCTGTGTAGGTGTTGTGAAAAGGATAAACAAAACCGAAAGGAAGGAAAGACAAAATCAGGAAGGTGGTAGGGATAACAAATGGTACCAAGGAATCAAAAGTAGTAAAACCAAGTCTCAGTAGTACTCACTACATAATTATCTGACTTCACTGTTTTTCTTTCCCTTCCACTGCTTCCATCAGCCAATAAATAAGATGATGAACCAAAGGGTTCATAACCACTGCTATGGTGGTTATCTCCAACAGGCTTGAAAAGAGCAAAGTGCTGGCCATGTAAGGGTTGGCCTACATTTCTGATTGATGTTTTCTGTTAGGTCCAGCCTAGAACTTTCTGAAAAAACAGTCTGATTTTTCTGTGATGGCACAGAAAGTTCTCACAAAGTCTTCTTGAGCAGGGTAACATAAGGCCAATAAAATTCTTCACCTTTGTCTCTGAGCTTCTAACTTCCCTTGGGGCTACAAAAAATTCCTTCATGAGGAACTTGGGCGGGGC